AAAGAGACCCACACCAAGACACATAATTAAAAATGGAATAGGTTAAAGAAAAAAAAATGATAAAGGCAGCAAGAGAAAGTTACCTTGTAAGGAAGTTCCCATAGGCTATCAATTGATGTATTCAAAATAATGAAAAGCAAAGACCTGCAACCAAGACAATTTTGCCCAGCAAGGGCTATCATTTAAAATAGAAAGTGACAGACACAGACATATCCAGACACACACATACTGAGTTCATTACCACCAAACCAGCATTGCAAGAAATGTTAAAGGGACTGATTTAAAAAGATTAGAGAGGAACATAGGTATAAAGAAAAACGCAATAAATAAGTACCTATGAACAATAACCTCAAATGTAAATGAATTAAATGCTCCATTCAGAAGCTGAACAGAAAAGAAAACATGACCCATATATATGATGTATACAAGATTCCCACCTCAGGAAAAAAGAGTTATGCAGGCTGAAAGTGAAGGGATGCAAAAAAATATTCCATGTAAATTAAAAAACAAAAAGCAGTAGTAATACTTATATCTGACAATAGACTTCAAAACAAAGGCCATAAAATGAGACCAAAAAAGATCACTACATAATACTAAGAGGAAATAACCCTTGTAAACATATATGCACTCAATATAGGAGCACCTAAATATAAAAGGAAATCTTGGCTGACAGCAACCTAGTCATAGTAAATGATTGCAACACCACACTGGCATCAATGAATAGATCTTCCAGACAAAATATCAACATTGAAAGAGCCACCTTAAATGACACAGTAGATCAGATAGATTTAATTGATAAAATAGACAGGACAGAGCAAATGCTCTACTTTAAAGTAGAGCGTGTATATGCAATAAAAAACACTCATAATGTGGGAAACTCCACAAACAAAACCTGTTTCCTCAACAATAATTTGCAAGGAAAAAAATTAGAAAAAAAGAGACCTACAAATTAATACAAACGACAGTTACTAGCATGTATAAACTGCCTTTAGATCCTGACTTTTAAAAAAAACTCAAAATAAAATATAACTGAGGGGAGAAACCAAGATGGCGGCATAGGTAAACATCTGAAAGTGCTGCCTCGCACAACCACTTCAAAAATACAACTAAAAGACAAAATGGACATCATCCAGAACTACAGGAAGGCTGGCTGAATGGAAATTCTACAACTAGAAGGAAAGAGAAAAGCACACTGAGACACAGAGGAGCTGCGGAAGTTAAGTGCAGAGGTACAGAGGCTCACACAGCAAGGGTTGGCAACTAAGGACGAGGCTGTCTTTTTGAATCGGGAGGGAGTCACAAGCCCCCGACTGCTCTGAACTCCAGTTCTGGGAAGTCTCTGGGGACCCAGACTCATACGGGGAGAAACTTGACTGTCTGGCAGCGGACAGAACTCAGAACTCGAGGGCGGCTTTCTCTCAGAGGTGCTTGCAGCAATTACCGGGACACTGAGACCTGGGGCCTGTTAAGGCAGGGCTGAGGATCAGCCATAGCTGTTTGCTCCGCCCTGTTGATTCCCTGAGACCCCGCCCCACCCAAGCTGTGGCAGAGGCTTTTGCATATGAATGCCCTGGCCCTTTGCAATCTGAAAATTAC